CTATCTCATCGAATCCAGCTCAAAAGGCTTCGTTGGTTAGGACACGTTTTGCGTATGTCCGACGGTCGCCTACCGCAACGTGCCTTGTTTGCAGTGGCTGTTACAGGCTGGGGAAAGCCACGTAGAGGCCAGCACATGACGTGAAGACGAGGCACAAAGAAATGCACAGAGCGATTAGGTAAAGTAGGTGTCTCCCGGCTTCCGGATTGAGGTCCAAAAGACTCCGAAATCGCAAGGTTGGAGACACTGAAGGTCATGGCCGCTAACCGACAGCAATGGCGACCAGGTTGTCAAATCTTATAAGACGAGAATGCTTGAAATAGTATGCTTAGTTGAACCGTTTAATCTGTGTGTTGAGGTTCGCTTTCTTTTCCCGTCCCTAAAAATAGGTCCAATCCCTGTCATCCTTACCCATTATCACTTTCCTTATATGCATTATGAGATCAACAGCGATCAGTGAAGTTTCCTTTACTTCATTACGCTGTACAATGATGATGATGATGATGATGATGATGATGATGATGATGTCCCTGATGAGGGGCGGCATTCTACACAAGGCAGATTAAGAAGGTTAGCCAGACCCAGATCCAGATATGCATCAAATCTGGTGGGAAAGATGACAATGTCTCGAAAACCTGAAGTGGTTAGGAAATGGGTATCAGAGTTATTAAAATGGCCTCAACTACTCTAAACTGAGGTATCTGTATATTTAATCATTATCGTTAAAAGTGTCACAAAATTGATTAGGAACATCATATGAGCAACAGGAGGCAATATACACTATGAAAAGAATGAGTGACCGGGAAAATTTTAATGTTTGGGCTTATCATCATCATCGAACAGCGAAATACAGAGAAGCGAACTTCACTGATCGCTGCAAAACTCGCAATGCCTATGCACTGGTTTTTGATGGATGAGTATTGCCAGGGTGCTTTTTGTCAGCGTATCGGAAAACTTGTTTCGTAGTTCTTATATTCCGATCCCGTTACCTAAAATCTTCCGTCCTAGAACCTGACTGTACTCAGTTAAAAAAGTGCAAAAGATTACTAATATTATTAGTGTTATAAAACTCATGTTCATGTGAAACCGACCAAGTCCTTTCATAGGAAGAAAAATAAGTAGCATCGAGTTCGTTATTACTGAGGACTAAATACAGCACCAAGGAGGAGAAACGTAATAGTTTGATCAATGCCCCTGGAGTTGAGCAACCGATTCCAAATACGGAAATAAGGATTTAATGATTCGAGGTACGCTCAATCACTAAAATGCGTGGCGAAAGAACAGTGTAGCGAAGACTAACAGAGCATGAACCCAGAGACAAAAAGACTAGTTCTGCAATGTAAACTGAGACGGAATTGCCACATTCGATTCGCCGTCTTGAGACTGGATGTTGCTATCATCTGAGTTGCGAATTTTTCGGAGTATAAGAATGACAAACTCAACCTCGATACACACTTACCAGTTTCCCAGCACACAGTCGAACGATTCCATTGCCAGGCAAAGAACTCAGTGGCATTGTACGGATTGAGACTAGTTGAATAGAGCCATTGCATTGTGTCTGAAACCACGTAGAGTCGACCGTGTAATAAGTGTCTGACTCGATCCCACCAGCCTAAACGGGGCATGGACAAATCGGTCGGACTCGGATTGATATCTTCTAGACGTTGACTCAGCCAGGCCAAAGCTGGTTCCCAGTTGGCCCCGTAGCACATGTGGATCTCTTTCACATCTGCCGAAGGGTGTTGTGAAATCAAGGGAAGGGATAACAGCAGAGAAATCGACCGTCAACAGATGACATGATTATCGCCTATGTCCTCCATAGCACACAGCTGTACTATCAGCACTGAGTGAGATCCATGAGACATCGCATTTTTATTGCTCTTCATCTCCCTTGTATGAATAGCAGTTTTTAAGAGAACAACAAAAAAGGACTAGATCGGGTTTAAGAATATGAGTGAGTAGAGCCTCGGTAAATTAGAGTAGCTTTGTATTTGTTGTGTTGTAGATGACCTGAAATGCGTACGTTAGATCGGCATATTGCTTTTGTTCGAGTTCGTGAAATATGCACGGCGGACTCTAAACAATGGAATTGACCTAATGAATGAGGTACCACATACAAACGGAAATCCAGTTGTATTATGTTGTATTGCAAAGCAGCGGAAAAAGTAGAAAAACAATTACTGCCCACAAAATGAACGGTTTTCAAAGTACACATACAAAGGTGGTGACATTAGTTGGTGCACGGTTGAACCCTGCGGTTAAGATTGTCCATTAGGCAGTTGACCCGACCGTTGCCCTCACTATCAAGTGGATAGCAACGACAAAAGTAAAAGAACCATTGCCCGCTCCGCCGAATCAAAGTGTAGTTATCATTCAATTGTGCATGTAAAGTATATACGTGAATAGGACAGAGAGGCAGTTACGTTACCGAATGACGGAACACATCCGGTTGTCGCTTAAGAAAGTGTTCACAAGATCGTTACGTGATCGAACGGGCAGAAAGGACATCAACTGGTGACAACAAAACACCTACTTGAAGAAAACCGACTACCTGCTGAAACCTGAAATGAACGGAATACCAAAAAGTGTATTCTTGAACCAATTCACATGCAAACAACTCCTTCTGCAATTACTCAAAACGTTAGAACTACAATGTGATGTCATAGTGACCTACCTAAATCGAAAGGAGCACAGAAACATGTGTGACACAATAACACCAAAGAGTAGTTGTTCAGTTCACGCATAAAACCCAAAAGTATGTCAATCGACCGCTTCGCTGATAGTGTCGGCTGGTCAACTAATTCGTACTAGTCACGAAGATCACGGTGACCCACTGGTTATCCGTTGTATCGCTGCTTGAAATGTACAACATGGTAATCAATGCCAAATGAACGAACAAAGTCCATTCATTCATTTCGAAGAACATCAAAAAAATGGATTGGATCTGACAGAATGATTCAGCCTGAGCTTAAACAACTACTGATCGGCACTTACATTCGCCAAGTTTGGTCTTCCGACACCCATTTGTTCGATCGATCAAGAACAAGTACAGAGAAGCAATTAAAAGCTGGGATTCAGGCTTTAAAAAGAGCACGTAACGTAGCACCATGCCCAGGGACTTAAAGTGAAAAACCACTATGCAGACGCACTGGTAACAGGAGCAAGTAAGCAATACGAGCCAGTACGCTAGTCGATCTCACAAAAGACAATATCGGCGCTTGATGAACATCGCAAACGAAAGAAAACCGTGGAGGGGTGGACAAGAAAGTGATCTGAAGGGATTGTATGATGCGGTATTTCTGAGCCCTTTGTGATTTTCCGAATGAGCCTCTACAACTGGAGAATGAAGTTGCCAGGAGGTTGTTCTAAAAGTATATTCTTACAAAAAGCACCTGGTGGTATGAACGTTGCGGATGATTATTCCCTAGGGGAGCTCGTAGTCTGCAATTTCTCTTCTCTAATACCAAAGATGTGATAAGCTGTAGCTTCTGCGCGCATCTGTTTGCAGCCATTTGTTCATCAATGTTGATCTTCACCAACATGTTACCACAAAATACCCATTTCAGGTGGACGAGAATAACCGGCAATGTAGCACTCATGACAGCTGCAACCTTCATGCGAACGTGTGCGTACGTATGATAATGAGTACATAGAACGTTGTGGCTCTGCGGCACTGCCGCCACATCCACATTCTCTGAAGCACGAATTCTCTACAATACCCGAAACAGAACTGTCTGATTACGCCATATGTCACTAGGATGCTGGTATCTTGAACCATTTGTTTTTTATAGTTCACAGTTCACAAAAGGAACGCGCAAGAGGTGGGGTAATGGACTGAAAGGAACGACATTACCAGCATTCCAGTCGTAGAAGAATTTCAAGGGCCAACAGTTTCTGGTAACCGAATAGTCCGGCCAAGGCGCACCAGTATTCACAACTGCAATTCTTTGACCTGCGGAGGGAGAAATAGACAGTACCAAAACTGGTCAAATTACGTCTTTTGCTGGGTAATGCAAAATGACAACAATTTGATGTGTGGATTGTCCGAAAATCGGTCACCACCCTCGTGATTTTGGAATCCACGCGTGGAGGCTGCTAACACTGTGGATAGCGAACGGTCTACGACCGGCGCTACGAGGCCGTACAAATATCACTGGTCAACAATTAGCTACGTGTAGACCGCATTTAGATATTCTATTCATTTTCAAAGGATTAATTGGGTACATTCAGTGATGATACACAGAGGTAGTCTTTATGTATGTCACCCTGGCTTAAAAAGCATGCTGTTCATCCATTTGTATTCTATTTGAACAAACCAAAAGATGCAGTTGCAGTAAACGAATAACCTTGTACAGCATTACAGACTTTCACAAACCAAATAAGGACCTCCGACACTCACGTTCGTTGACAGTTATGTTTTAAACGGAGTTTCCTGAAAAAACGTTTTTCAGGCTCTGGGTTTTATGTGGCACATATGATGATCGCCAATGCGACGGAATCCATGAAAAATCTTGAACATTGTGCACAAAGTGGCATTTGCGGTACAACTTGGCCTTTTCTACTTCCCAGGTATCCGTGCACACTTTTCACCCGGAGTGCAACAGGTTGATAACGATAATTATATATATATATATATATATATATATATATATATATATATATATTTAACACTGGCTTGAGAAAAACCACAGTGCCAACGCCACAACAACATTAACAGTAACAACAACGCGGCGGAGGGGGTGGGTGGTGGAGTACAGATTATAGGGGAAGAGACGTAACTGTCAGAATGGAAGATTAGAAATAAATGGAACAACAATTTTATTGTGTTTCACCGTACACTTTTTGAAATAAATATTCTACGGACATTTGCGGTTTTCGACGCAGAGGTTGATTGAACGACGATGACCCACCGGATCCTCAGAAATCATCGATCGACCATCCTGCAACTGGTTATTAAATGGATCGACGCCTTCTACAGCCACCGTTTTTGTATCAGCAACATGAACTGAACTTTATAGAAAAGGAACCGCACCCATATTATCAGTTTAGTTTTTGACGTTTAGCTCTTATTCAGCGAGGTACTCAAACAAACCGATAGGGTGAATTAGAGCATCCGATCACGTCCTTGACGATCGGACATCGAGAGAAGCATGTGTGCAATTCCCTAGGTAGAAATGAGCGCTGTATTGAGACGAACGGTACGCATGTTCGAAAAAACCCACCTTTCCAATCGGCCAATCGTTCACCTCCGGCCAAAGGACCCCAAAGTAGAAGATCAGTCATTTCCAACCACGGTTTTGGGTAGTCACGCAACTGGAAACGCCATCGATCCACATTCAAGCTGATCTGACGACACCAGAGTGTGACGAAATCAGACGGTGTCAGATGAGGCCATGGACTGTTAATGAACATAATGGAAAGAAATAAGAGCCGGAAAATGAACTGGGCCGAATAGACTGGATTAAATAACATGCTGGTAT